GATGGAGTTTACAACAAGATAATGTGATAAATACAGGGTGGGCCAAAAAATGTTACTGATTTTAAAATGTAATAACTCATTCATTATTAGTATGATTGGTCTCAAACTTCTTGATATCGCTAAGAATTGATGTAAGTTTTGTTCCAGATAAGGGGTTTTCTTGTACGACTTTGCATTCATTGTTTTCACCCTAATTTTGGTCACACAAATCTGGCTTTGTATAAAAAACCTCCTACCTCATACCCACCTACCCACGTACGTGGAACATGATACAGTCATTGAAGGGTTCAATTCTAAAGATTATTGAATCTCAAAATAGCTCAAATTATTAACATTTCTACAATTCCGGCTTTATTTTATGACTAGACAGATCCGTAAATAAAGCCATATGGATGCATTTTAATGTGTAATGACCCGAGGGGGCCCCAGGGGAATAAATAAATAACGACCGCGAGCATAGGTCCAACAAGCCAGATAAACAAATTGAAAGAAAGTGTGCTAAATTTAATGCCCCGAGTGGGAATCGAAACCAGCTGGGATGTAGTAGCAACTTGCTATCAAGGGTTGTTCAAATGCATCTATAATTCATCATAAACTAAGATTTAATCAACTAAGATCTTTAAAATTGAATCCTTCAAAGACTGTATCATGTCCCACATACGTGGGTAGGTGGGTATGAGGTAGGAGGTTTTTTATACAAAGCCCACAAATCTGATATCTAAATTCCATGACAGAATGTATATTTCCTTTAGAAGGGGATTATGGTATAAGGAAATTGTCAAACTAACCTGGAATGTGACTGAAAATAATCCAGTATGTATTGGCTTCTTGCATCTCTTCCTTTTGATTGGAATTGTGTCCTTAGCATCATCATTGTTGCTATGCTGATATAATACAAGCAAAATGATGTGCAGCTGCATGCCATTCTCCTCAGGGTCTCCACCGGCACCAGTCTTGATGGTCTTTTTGGGTTCCCTGCACATATAGATTGAAAAAACATCTTCAACTTATTATTTTCATTTTCAGTGCTCACAAGAATGAGAGAATGAAAGCCCTAGTAGAAATAAAGATTGCGAATTAAGATCATCTTGTTATTACAATGTACATATAGGAGTGTACTGAGTATTACACTCAAATTAACAAAATAAGTACAGCTCTGAATCTGATGTTTCATATTGTCCTCACAAGAATTGGAGTATCAAATTAAATGAACATTGTAACTGTTGTTACAGAATGTGTTACAATTTTCAACATTGCCACGGTTGTACCAGACATTGTTACATTATTTAATATTGTCACAATTTTACTTCTTTTCAGTTTGAAAAAGAAGTCCTTATATCATTTTTCGTTCAAATTGGATGCAATTAAATTGCCCCGGGTACCTCTGACTCCAGTTGCCATGGTAACTATAATATTGACCAATCAGATGGCAGAATTTATATCTTTATACGTTTTAATTCAGAAATGTACAAGGTATATTCTGACCAAATTTCAGGATGTTTGGACCAATATTTACAAAATACCAGATATTTTTACCTTATTTATTGATCACCCTGTACTTCTGTACTTACATCTCTCAGCTTCTCTTACTACTTCGTCTTCATCCAATTCCATGTCAACTGAAAATAAAATAATAGGTAATCAGTATATGTGAGGAATATACCCAGGTTCTTTATTAGATGTGCTAAGAATCAGAGTATCAAATGATAGGCCAATTAAATCATTTTGAATGACATCTGTTGACATTTGTATTTTTAAAATCAAAAATTATAGAAAAAGTTGATACATGCAACAATCAATAAAATCTTACAAATTTTACATAAATAGGTCCATTACAAATCTTTATTGTTCACATGTAACTCTACTTCTGTACTTACGCTCAGTTTCTCTTTCTTCTTCAATTGGAGAATCAAACTCCATGTGATCTGAAAATAAATATCCATCTTATAGTATAGTTACCAGATTTTGGCAATGAAATGCCATGGTATGACCATGGTATTAGACTGTCACATCTTGCAATGAAATGCTGTCAACCATGATATACCATGGTAATACCATGGTAAATCATGGTTAGGAGCATGGCAATGAAATACCTTGGTAATACCATAGAATTAGATTGTCACATCTTGCAATTAAATGCCATGAAATGCCATCAACCATGATATACCATGGTAATACCATGGTAAATGATGATCAGGAGCCTGGCAATGAAATACCAGTTTAATACCATGAGTGATGGTCAAGTTGGACCATGAAATACAATGAAACATGGTATATCATGGTATATCATGTGAAACCAACTCAAGTGTGGTTTTGATTTTATATTGTTTATTGTCTTTTAGAATATGTCTAATTTAAGAGAGTATATTTTATTCACAGTATTTTATTTCCAAGCTTTTAGTTTAACATAGTCCACTATCTGTAACTTGGCTTCAGACTTCCTTGGGTCTTACCAACCGCCTCCAGACACCCGATCATTTTAGCATCTTCATGCTTTATAGTCTCACAATGATGGACTAAAAATACCTTCAGCATTAAGCCTGACCAATCAGAAGATCAGTGTAAGAAGCCAAGTTAAAGATGTTAAAGACTTACATTAAAGTTATTCATAATATTACATGGCATAATACATACAATCATGCAATACAATAGAATCTACTATAATTAGGTGACCCTATGATTGGTTACATCATGGTATACCATGGTATACCAAAGTCAAAAAATGTCAAAAGAAACACCATTGTCACCATGGTCAAAGTTGGTGGTAATTTCATTGCTGATCATGATAGACCATGGTAGTGTTTAAGGAAGGGAGTATGGAAGGGAGGGAGTGTTGAAGGACGGGAGTATGGATGTGAGTGAGTGTTGAAGGATGGGAGTATGAAAGGGAGGGAGTGTTGAAGGACGGGAGTATGTAAGCGAGATAATGTTGAAGGAAAGGAATATGGAAGGGAGATATTGTTGAAGGAAGGGGGTATGGAAGGGAGGGATGGAAGGGAGATAGTGTTGAAGGGAGTATGGATGGGAGGGAGTGTTTAAGGATGGGAGTATGGAAAGGAGGAAGTGTTGAAGGAAGGGAGTATGGAAGGGAGTGAGTGTTGAAGGAAGGGAGTATGAATGGGAGGGAGTGTTGAAGAATTGGAGTATGGAAGCGAGAAAGTGTTGAAGGAAGGGAGTATGGAAGGGAGGGAGTGTTGAAGGACAGGAGTATGGATGGGAGGGAGTGTTGATGGACAGGAGTATGGAAGCGAGATAATGTTGAAGGAAAGGAATATGGAAGGGAGATATTGTTGAAGGAAGGGAAGGAGTGTTGAAGGATGGGAGTATGGAAGAGAAGTGTTGAAGGAAGGGAGTATGGAAGGGAGTGAGTGTTGAAGGAAGGGAGTATGGAAGGGAGTGAGTGTTGAAGGATGGGAGTATAGAAGGGAGGAAGTGTTGAAGGAAGGGAGTATGGAAGGGAGTGAGTGTTGAAGGAAGGGAATATGAATGGGAGGGAGTGTTGAAGAACAGGAGTATGGATGGGGGTGTTGAAGGACAGGCAGGCGCTCTAAAATAATCATGGACATCTAATATGTTCTTCGAACTGGAATTATATCAATAACAGGACTGGCATCATGGAACCTATTTCTATGCATTGTTGTTCGTCATAAAGTCAGATTTTTAGATAGGCCTACATTGATCACTGGCGGATTAGGGGCCTGGGCCTGGGCCCCCCCCCCCCCCTTGGATGGGCCCAGAAAAAAAAAATTGGGCCCAAAAAAAATTTTGGGCCAAAAAAAGGCCTTCAGGCCCCAAAAAGTGGGCCTTTTTGGCCTTTTAAGACCTTATTTTTTCATTTCAGGCCAAATTTTGAAGAAAATGGGCCTCAAAATTTCAAAATTTGGGCCCACTTTTGGGTTTTAGGGGCCCAAAATTTTTTTCAGAGACGTTTTTTTCTCTGACTTGAAATTTGGGCCCCCCCCCCTTGTTGATTTCCAGATCCGCCCCTGTTGATATTTACTTCAAACACATGTTGCAAAGAAACTCGTTGAAATTTTGCCGTAACCCATTCTTCTGGTGTCTATAATTGCATTAAAATGTCAGTTGAGTTTCGTCACAGGCTATGAGTAGAAAAATCCTTATTGACCATTTCATGATAATTTTAGGATTAAATAGGCATTTATCTCCGAAATGTCTAGAGAAATTCGTTATACCAGACTTTTTACCAGACTGTAACACTCTTTACCAGACTTTTACACTTAAATATTTGTGGGCGGGGGTGTGGGGTGGTCGAGTCCTCTCCCCCTTTACAAAAAGCTGGCTACGGGCATGTTATATATAACATTGTCACAGTCATAAATAGCAAGCATTGCAATATATTTTAACATTACCATGGCCATGGCATTATCCTTGCCCAGTGCCCACATTATAAGTTAGTAATAAGGAGACACACCATGGCATTGGTCCAAATCCCATTGATCATTTCTATAGTCTAGTCTATCATCATTTAATGTATTTATTTATTCTCTTTTGTTCTAAGGCCTAATACTTCACAATTGGCATTACAAATATGAAGCCTCCGACTCGGGTGAAAACTTATTGGGCTACCATCATGTTCAATGTTGAACATCAACTTTTGTAGGCCTACAAAATTTTACAGAAAACGAGAAATCCTACATCTTCAATGTATATATGTAACTCTACTTACACCTCTCAGCATCTCTTTCTACTTCATCGGCATGTAAATCCATCTCATCCATCTCATTCATTGTATTATGTTGGTTTGATCAGTCTGTCAGGCTTGATAACAGCGATTGGTTACATACATTCTAATTTACGCTGACATTTCCTAGTCTTCTAGTTTCACTTCCGCTCTTCGTCTGTTTGTTTATATACGATGGGTTTGCGATAACCCAAAAAAATAGTCCTCGTTACGACGTAAAATGTTATCTAGCCAATCAAAAATTGATAAGGAATTGTGGGTAGTTCCCTCTCGGCTTGGTGAGTTGCCAATATAGTTTATGTTGCCAGACGATAGAGAGCTCTTCAAGCTTGTTTCCAAACGACAGTTCCGGATCCGGCCGCAAACGAAGAAGAAAAGATTGCAAATGGAAATGTCTTTATCTGGGGTAAATACACGTTTTACAGTTTATGATTTCGCTTATCATCCTCCTTTTTGTCCTATAGATTGAGTAATTAGCCATGGACTGACACCTACGTCCTAAAAAGTCACACTGACTCGCACTGAAGTGAAACAGAAAGTGAAAGTCAAAGTCAGTGGATCAAAAGGCTATAGGCTATAGGCCTAGAATACGATAATATTAGAATGAGTATATGACCGTGAAGACTGAAGAAGTAGGCCCAAGGCCCCCGCCAAGGCCTAGGGCTAGAGACTAAAAATAGGCCTACATGTATTTTATTTTCTACTTCATTTATTATTTCTAGGAAGTTTTGTTTGATGATACTGATAGCAGTAGAGAAAGCAGTGATGGGGAAGTTACCCAAGGTAAATAAAAGTTTGATTTTGATTATTTTTGTTATGGAGTCCAGTGCATATCAGTTGCCCGGTGTATCAGAATTCGATGGGGGTCATAGGCTGAACCCTCAAATATCAATATGTTCCGGGCCTGTAGCCCCCGGCCCGTGGCAAAATCTCCCCCTTGTAAAATCGCTCCCCCCTGGTAAATCATGGCTCCCGGGTCATTGCTACGGGTCTGTGTTTTTCCTATACCAATTTCTCAAATTTCAATGTGTTCCCATACCAACCAAAATGATGCACAAAGCCATAGATCTTCCAAATGTCAAAATATAAGACCAATGCCATACCAAATGTCCAAATATAGGACCAATACTATACCAAATATCCAGATATAAGACCAATTACGCCATTCAAAATGTCTAAAGCCTTGAGAAGAAGGCATAATTACTAGACCAATGTCATACCACATGATAGCATTGCCTGGCTATGTCAATTTCTCTTTGTAAGCCAATGTCGGGTACTCTAGTAGCCGATGTAATAATTAGCTAATATATTGGTTTTAGAAATGTTAGATTTAACGATTCTTTTTCAGCAGGGAGATTGCAGTTCCTGCACAGTGGGATTTCAAAGTTGAAAAGACCGTTGGACCATGAACAAGGTAAAAAACCTGATCTGCCTTAAAATATAATGGATAATTTCGAGAATGTAGAGTTTAAATTAAATATAGACCTGAATGTGAGGAAAAGTATTGTTGGTAACCATACACTTACAAAGCATTTCAGTCATAAAAAGAAAATAAGTGCACTTTCTAATATTATGAGAATGCTTATTTTTATGTTTTAGAGATTACTGCAGAGATTCCTGAACTGGCCAAGAAGAAGAAAAATGGTTAGGCTAGTTCCTTTATTACTGCTATGCATTTGCACAATACATGTATCTTTGAAATGCTAATTTCTTAAATTCCTGCGAAATGTTACAAAATGCTAAAACACCTGACCCTTTAAGGTTTAGACATATTTTCTTGCATTCATGATAAACAATGCATACATATTCTGAAAAGTAATTGATTACAAAATATAACTTGGGGTTCAAACAGACCCAAAAAACATTTAGAGAGTGTACAAAACAAAAAAAACATTTAATCATGGTTAAATCAAAAAAGTCATCACTCTAGTTGATATAATATTTTTTTCGTTTCAGTCAAAGAGCAGCAGTGGTGGCTAGAGGAAGATGACAAAGGCAAGCTGTTTATATGTGTTAATGGGGGGAGGCTTGTCTCGCCGGCTACTGCAAGAGAGTTCCAGGAGCTCATTTGGATTGGCCACGGAAGGGGCAAAGATGAAATTTGGGTAAGTTTTATAGAGCAAAGGAAGTTGATAGCAAGAAAAACCATAAATTGTAGATTTATTTTCTTGCTTTTATATAATTCACTTTTTCATTACTTCGAGGCACAACTACTCTAGTAGCTCATGCTGGTTGAGTATATACTTCTATGTCCAGAGATTTTCTAAGTGAAGGTCATTGATTAATTTTTGCTTGGTAACATATTTGCCAATGAAGGCGAAATAGGTCAAATGGACACTCAAAATGGCCATATTATGGGGGGTCAATAATACATATGTATTTAAATAAAAAAGTCAATGGTTCTCCAGTTCTCATTCTCAAGATATTTGCCAAAAACTTATTTCAGCATGTTACTACTGAATTTTCATCTATCTTGCATCATTTAAGACTGAATCTGCAGCCTCTAAAATTGACCAAGAGGTCTTAAGTGAATGCGGTTACCCTAAACCACGAGGTTGCAAGTTTGAGAAAGGTGTGCTTCATGTGTTCATTCTTTACCCTAAAACAGTTAGAGTTCTTTTGACTAGATAGATGCAGGATATGCAGGATATATGAAATTTGACCATATTTTATGTTTTTCAGATGAAATTTGCTGGCGAAGCGAATGGAGTAAGGAGGCAGCGGGGAACATTTGATACAACTGTGAGTATAAGACACAATTCATACAAATAAGATTTATATTTTATATACTAAAATAAGAAAAGATGCACCAACATTTAATTAAATCACACATATATAAATACTTTTATATAAATGGAAAAATAGATGGCACTAAGGGTGTTAATTGGGCCAGAACACATGGAAACATAGCAAGAGTCACTAAATTTCTAAATCTAACAAATAATTCCATTTGGATCGACATTAAACACCATTAGAATGTAACTATATGACATGTGGATTCTAACATTGTGTCAATGGTGATTAAAATTACACGTCCCCATATAGGCAATACTGTATATGCGAGTACAGGTCTACATGACCTGTAAAATGTTGATTTTGTTGGTCATACTATATATTATAATTAAAATTATCCTATGTTTGTAAGCTTACTTTTAAGGTTATTAACCCCCTCCCTCCCTAACTGTGCAAATACAGTTAATATTCCGACATTGATCTTTTGATATGCTCCCTTAAATTGAGACTTTAACAAGATTTCAAAGCTATATGCTATGGATTATGGAAAATCCTTTATTGAACATTAATTAATAGCTTCTCATAGCACCTTGAGTACTAAGTATATACCTAAAACAAATATATCTTTTTTCCACAGAGAAATGCTTTCACAAGGAGTGTTAACAAAAAATCTAACAAGACAATGATCTGCTCCATTGTGATGAATGGAAAACTAATGCAAAGTAAGTCCATTTAATCATTTAACTACTTTTATATTAATTATTTGGTCTTTTCCTTGAAAGTATGTATATACTGAATTAGACTGAAAATAGACCTGTCAGTAAATGAGCCAGGCCAGAGGAAAAGGGGTCTTATCACAGATTTTTTCAATATTTTGATTTTTTGTTTATCTTAAAAAGCACAAATAGACCTTTCAAATGAGCCTTGGCTGAGTGCGATACCTATTCAAGCATGTAAATAACCCAATCATGCAGCTTTACTTCAACATGTATTGTTCACTGTTTTCACAAAAGCTGGCTAATAACTTTATTAGCATGGCTTATATCAGTATAACAACTGTTTAAAGGGTTCCGATTAGCATCCCGTATAAAAACAATATGGCGGCTCCAGGCGAATCAACTGGATCAGTCCATTTTTAAGAAATAAGGGGAGTTCTGTAAATCCAGTTTATTGAAATTGTCTTTGAGATAAAGTAATCCGTTTATAATGATTTCGAAAACGTTATCCAAAGAGTGATTGCGTTCAAAGAATACATGAACAACAGCCAATATAAATCCTTGTATTAGAAACCGGTTTGTCTTGCTTTGTTTCATTTGTAGGATATTTCATATGCCAGGCTGTGTGCTATTACGTTATGGGGAAATTTAGTTGCCAATTTTTCCTTATTGTACACAAATAGAAGATCCTGAAATTTCACCCATAAATGTGGAATTGATTTGTCAAAATAAAAATCACCCTTTTATAAATGTGTGACGATCTATAATATACTTATGCTATATAACAGTTAGAGGTGCTGACACAACAACCTAGAACCTGTGAACCCTTGAGTATTATTCCGGGATCGGGCCTTTTATACTAAACAGTGAGCAACACCAGAAACGAGCGTTCGATTTGCTAAACGATATGCGTCACCCTTTAATTATGTCTATCAGTTTGATTCAGATATTTTTTCTACTATCTACATAAAAACATGTTTGAAATTTAGGACCTACATATTTCTTTAAAATTTGTACTAAATGACCCCTGTAGCAAAACTCTTAATAACACCAAATATATTCTTTCAATGGAAAAACAATTTATGACATCAAAAAATAGAAAGATTGAACTTTATGATACACCCAAAAAATGTTTAATTTGGCAATATTGCATTTTAAGAATTTTTCTAACTTCAAAAATAGGGTAATAACAGGATCCTCCCTTTGCCTCATATTTCGTATACTCATTGCTATTATTCGAAATAAAAATGATTTTTTCAAACTCATCTTTTTGATGGTTGCACCTTGGGGCAAGCCGTTTAGCCCTTTCGTGTCACCATTTTGAGTGCAGACAAGTGAAAATGAATAGTCAATGAATCAATCTATATTGTTCACGGGTCACTTCATAGTAACCTACCCCAACATCAGTTTAGACTAACTAAGCCACTTAGAAAGCAATTTGGCGCATACTATTTCATCATATCAACATCTATGTTGAACTAAGTTAGTAGAAAAACACTGTTGTAAGACAAAAGGTCTGCTAAAACTTGCTGACAACAATTACAACAATGTGTTTCCATCCTGCAAAATAAGTAAAAAGTCAAGATTTGTTTTATTTTATTTCAGCAAACAGTGAACTTTCAAAAAAGTCACAAGGCTCTAAGTCTAATTCCCCTAATACTAGTATCAAGATTGATATTCCTGCCCCCCTTCAGGAGCAATACACCCTACCTACTTTAATTGGTAAGTTTATTATATGTACAATTGTTATGTACCACATACATATTCTAGATGCCCATTGGCTTATTCATGGTCACTTGATAAGAAATAGCATGAACAAATTCCTTGGAAGGTCTTAAATTTGAACCCCCATTGGTAAAACCTTTGTTTTTGGCTCACCCTGTACTTATCATAAGTTAGGTCAGGTGAACAGTCTTGAGTATGTTTTATATTCCCAGATAGTTTTTGTGTACAGAGTACTTATTGGGTACATTCCCCTAATGAATACCCTGAAAGGCCTGCAGCATCAGGAACATGTCAGTGAACAGAATATACAGAAAAAGTATGATGCACTATTTCCCTCAATAGCAGTCCCTTTTTGTATACTAAATAAAACAAGTTCTGAAGAACATAGAAGTAATTCTGAACAGTCCAAGGGATCACCTATCTGTAAGGAACATTTTTTATAATGAAGTGCATACTGAAAGACATCAACCAAATGGAAACAATGTATTTGCAGCTATAAGGATTTTTTTAGCCAACTAGGATGGTAGAGTATGGTTATAAGTATGGATTTTAATGGTCCAATTTTATTGAAGAAATGATGAAAATATAAATGTCATGCATGTGCCCAGGAATCACCAAATATCACCCTGAAATGTTTTTGGGCAATCCTTCCTCCCCTTTCAGACATCCCCCAGATAACAATCAAAAAATATTTTCTGAATTTTAGCATGTTGCAATTATATTTCTCAACTTTTTAAAAAATCATCTACAAGTTCTGAGAAGTTCAAATCTGATCTAGATTTAAACTCAAAAAAATAATATGAGCAACCCAACTAGGTGTGACATTATGTCTTGTATTACATACCTAGCAAAGCATTTGTATGGGAGTCAATGGGAAAGTTAGCTGGCTATATATCCATCGATATTGCCCTATTACCCCGATATAGCCCACTGACCTCGATCATTTTGAAATTAGATTTATTTAATAACCATGACAATATCATGACATCATGTTTCATTTCCATCAATATTTACTCGCATACAGATGTATGACATCATTGATACAAAGTTGCCATGGGAATAAGGTATGTAATACATCAGTTATGTCACTATGACATGAAATATGCCTGAGTTCTGCCAATATAGGCTGACCTTGGGAGGCTCTATCTTTGGGCAAGAATAGTAATAGTGACATAACCTCTAAGTAATGCCTAGTTTATTATCCCTAACTCTTCCAAAAATTACCAGCTAGCAGTATCTTATCTTTATTGTAGAATATTTCCAGAATTGGATGACATGTCTACATTGCTAAAACTAAGATTAACAATTCCATGATTCCAGATACATTCAAAATTCCATTACACAAAATAAAACACGCACCTGAGGAGTACCTCGCCAGAGAGACAGGCAATCAAGTTATAGAATGTGTGGGGCAGATTGCCTTTATTTCCATAATGCTTCCAACTTCATACAAGGGGGAACACAGACAGGCCCCTGCATATTATGCAATAGGAGGGAATGAAGTTTTGGAGGCAATGAGGGACAAGGATGAAAAGTAAGAATTAAGTACATAATATTGCTTCTAGCTGGATTTTACAAGTTTATTAATTGTCTTGATGATGACTAGGATTTTTTCTATTTTTAAATTATTATAAAATGGCAAATATGTGTCTTGTCAGAATGTAAAGGAATTCCCCCTAATTTCTGAAAAAATGCTATGAATTAAAAATCAATTTTGCAAATAAAGTGTAAGTGAAAGTAATATAACTTCCAAGAGTTATTCATAAATCGAGTATTCAAATATGCATGTGGGAGGAGGCATAAATGATACAAAATTAAATGTATTGTTAATTCCCTTTCAGCACCATGATAGAATGCCAACTCTTCAAATGTGAGACCATTAAAGAGGCACTCATTGTGGGTAATACATATATAAGGAACATTTGTTCCTTGTATAACCCAATGACATTTCAAGTGAGTGCTATATTTCTATATCAGCCATTTCATCATTAGCCATCATAGAATCTTTCACTATACTAAAACAAGTCACACAAACAGATATTCAAATGTGTACACGTATATGCTCAATTGTATCACTAAGGTAAATGGGCACAATATTGTATTCTTCAGGGATCATGAAGACTAAGCCCTATCAATTTTGATGTCATTACATTGCATCTCATGGTCATAGATTTCATTACCAAATGGTCTTAGTTTCTAAATAACTATAAACTACACATATGTAAAATGTCAGTCTAGAATCTTCCATTATATTTCATTATAAACTTCTTTTATTTCATATACTTTATTATTTTATATACTTTTTTGAATTGTAAGACTGACCACTATAAGTAAATAAACTAAACTATAAGCTTAACTATTTCATTAAATGATTGTGTATATAATATTTAAGGATATGGTGAGACAAGCACAACGGTGCCTGAAGAATAACATTGAAAGGAAGGACATTCTTGAAATACTGAGCAACCTTGGTGGAAAGGTATTTCAATTAAATCTAATTATCACTGATCTAGTTAATCACATATTCCAATGACTTACATAAAATAAAAACGAAAAAATGAAATAAATTCAGATTTTAAAGTGCCATTTTGGTGATTAATATACAGTTTATTCACATTCAAATCGAAACAAATTTAATTACATGTCAAAATTAATATCTTCGAAACTAGACTTTCAAAACCATTCTAATTTTGAATAAGTTTTAGAATTCCCTTGTTGAAAAATGTTTTCATGCAATTGAAATCAAAAAAAGATCATCTTTTGAACCAAGTAAATAGGTTCAACATTTTGAAAAATATTCATAATTTTTTCAAATTGTTCTCTTGATATTTTATTTTCATGGGGACTTCACTTGTAAGAAAACAACTATTATATGACTACTCTTCTGAGAAATGTTTGCATTTCAAGGTAAAATTAACATGGGGTTCAGATTAGTGAGATTAGGTATTACAGGTTTTACTGTATGTAGTTCCACTTTAGCATCTGATTCTTATGAGGAATGTAAGAGAGCTGGGCTGGGATACATAAATAACTAGACATGTAAATTGAACAAGTTCAATTTAAGACTCCAGATTTCACATTTTTTTTAAGCTGAGTCATCCAGAACTTGTAAGCTGAGTCATTCAGAATAAGCTGAGTCAGCTAGAATATAGACATTTAGACAACTTTTAAGAAGGCTATCTTCGACTCTATTAGCTTAACATGGGGATATCATCATATCGACTTTTCGAGACTTCAAACCGCTATAACTATCTAACCAGAAGTTAGATCGAAATTTGGTTTAAAGATTCTGATTCCTGAGAAAATTCTACCCTTAATTCATAACTCATACGTTAAATTTGGATAATTTTTTATTTTGACCTACATTTCGGACACCATATCTCAAAAGTAGGTCAAAAAACTTTCTGACGGCAAAAGGCTAACACTATAAGCACACTCTTTGCTACCTGTATACAAAATTTTGAAGCAAATCCTTAAAGTGTAATGTCAGAATCGCAAAAATAAGGAAAAACTATGAATTTGACCTAGATTTTGACCAAGGCATTTTTGCGTCCAAATTTTAAAGCTAGATAGCCTTCGAGGTCCCCTCCTTTTATAGGCTTTCAGAATATTAAGCTGTACTCAGTCTTTATCTGGTATTTTACACTTCAAAAAATCCTTTTTCTCATTGACATAACATGGGGCACCAAATTTAGCGATTTTTGAGCTTTCAAAACCCCATAACTTTCGAACCGGAAGTCGGATCGTAATTTGGTTTGCAGATTTGGATTCCTGACAAAATTCTACCCCTAATTCATAACTCATACGTTAAATTTGGAATTTTTTTATTTTGACCTACTTTTTGGACACGCCATAACTTCCGAACCGGTAGTCGGATCGAAATTTGGTTTGCAGATTCGGATTCCTGAGAAAATTCTACCCTTAATTCATAACTCATACGTTGAATCTGGAGAACTTTTTATTTTGACCTACTTTTCGGACACCATATCTCAAAAGTGGGTCAAAATACTTTCTGACGGCAAAAGGCTAACACTATTAGCACACTCTTTGCTACCTGTATACAAAATTTTGAAGTAAATTATTAAAGTGTAGTGTCAGAATCGTAAAAATAAGGAAAAACTATGAATTTGACCTTGATTTTGACCTAGGCATTTTGGTGTCCAAATTTTGAAGCTATGTAGCTTTTGAGGTCCCCTTCTTTTATAAGCATTCATTATGTTAAGCTGTACTCAGTCAATATCCTGTATTTTTCACTTCGAATAAGTCTTTTTTCCCATTGACTTAACATAGGCACCAAATTTAGCGATTTTTGAGCTTTCAAAACGCCATAACTTCCGAACCGGAAGTCCGATCCAAATTTGGTTTGCAGATTTGGATTCCTGAGAAAATTCTACATCTTTTTCATAGCTCACACATTCGATTTGGAGCATGTTTAGGCGTGACCTACATTTCGGACGCCGTATCTCAAAATCGGTAAGAGTAATCAAAATTCTGATGTCATATCTTTGATTCGCCTTTTTCTAAGCTACACGATGAAAAAAAGATGAAGGAGTTACGAAGAATATTGACGAAGATATGATGAAGAATGTTGAAAATGTAAGATTTGACCTAGTTCTTGACCTTTGACCTAGATAAAAATTTGACCTAATTTCCCAGAAAGCCGGTTTCAGTCTTTAGTTAACCATGTAAGTTGGATTAAGTAAGCTGTTATAGTTGACGAGAAATTTGGTGAGGAGGAAGAAAAAAGAATAATAATAATAATAATAATAATAAAGAAAACAGGCAAAAACAATAGACTCCAGATTTTCAATCTGGAGTCTAATTACTGGACATATAGGGTGTCAAATAAGTCCTGTCCCGCCTGCTACAACTAAAACCATAATAGATGGTACCTAGTGTGATATTCCATTTGAAAGATCATCCAAGTTATATTAACTCACCAACTATCAAGTATTTTTGGTGTTTACCCATATTTTCATGATGTCCTTTATAATTAGTGTGCCCAACTTAGCAACTATGTTTCTAGGTTTATGCATGGTCACATCAAATGATACAATTTTGTGACATTGATTGACAGGTATCAGATAGATGCCAATCGATTTAACTTTGGAAGATCTTTCCAATGATATATCATACTTGGCTGCTTGGTACCATATATCTTGGTTTTTGCTGTTGAGGGGGACAGGACTTATTTGACACCCTGTATATTATTAGATAATCACCTTTGGACCCTTTATGGAGAAAAAGGTTTAAGTTAGAAAATAATGTTTACAATACTTTTTTTAAGATTTTAGATCACGAAATTGTTTTGACATTTTTCATTTCCAATGATTTTTTGGGTTAAAGGTTAAGAACTCATTAAGCACCATAATGAGTACAGCAAGTATGGCAGCATCTGACTTTGAGATGGTGGAGGAGTTATTCACCAAACATGAGGAGACTTCCTCCAACTCTATCAACCAGAATGTAAGTAAACAATCCCTCCCCATTGACTTACTCAGTTAATACCTAAAATCATGCTAAATATTGTATAATTCATGTACTAAAATATAATTATTAATAGAAAAATCAATGCCTCCTACATTTGTTGTATGCCTACCTTAATATCATGAAAATATTTGAGTAATTAAGCATGTGAAATTTTATGAAAAGTGTTCAGATTAGACAGGTTAATTTATCAAATATGGCTGTTCAAATTGGGAGGTGTTCACATTTCAATTTTTTAACATGGGAGTCAATGGGAGAAAAAATGGGACTGAAAAAAAAGTGTTCAAATTGGGAGGTTTTCGGATTAGCCAGGTGTTCAGATCCCAGGGGGGGGGGGGGGGGCACTGGTCACATTTTTTTACTGGGGGTTGCCTGCTGAGATTCAAAATATCTACCAACATCTATTGATTTATTTCTCAAAAAATGGACCCACATCTAGGGTTTTCTTTCAAAAATAGACCCAATATTCAAGATATTTTTCAAAAACAAGACCCACTTCTGGCGATTTTTTTTTCAAAAATAATACCCAGTTTTAGGATTTTCAAAAAGTAGACCCAGTTCTAGGGATTTTTTCATCAAAATGGGACCCATATCTAGGGTCTTTTCTTCAAAATGGGACCAACATCTAGGGATTTTTTGGCGAAAAGTGACCCAGTTATAGCGGCACGTCCCCATATAGCCAATATATGGGAATACCCAACCCCCGGGTTCAGATATACAGGTTCTACTGTATTTCATTTCATATCACTGCACTACATCAAGAAGGATTGGCTCCCAGAATGCAACATCGATACTCTGCCGATACTCTTTATGTCATGATTACAAAATTCGAATTCAAACAGCCGCCATTTTGTTCACTACAACATTTGAATCGTTAATTTTGGTCTTATTTCCAAACGAAAAGGTCATTTTGAATTCGAATTTTGTAATCATGACATCAAGAGTATCTGCAGAGTATCGATGTTGCATTCTGGGAGCCAATCCTCCTTGGCACTACATTATATAATCAATAACACATTTGTTGTATGGTTGTCAAAGTAACAACTGTACTCAGTAAGTGTTTTCAAAATATTATTTACAGCTCTTCAGAACTATACAAGGCTTTAATGACATATCTAAGACAAGAGCACTAAAAACTGCAACCAAACATGGGTTAAATCAAGGAACGGCAATGATTTTGAAGTTGAAAAACAAGCAGCTATTGAAGACTGAATTTCTTAAAATAAGTGGACACTCAACTTTTGAGCTGATGCTCCAAGATATAGATTATAACGAGGAAGACCTCAATAGATTTGTTGGTACGTACTCATTTGTTTTAAGTACCAGAATAAATGTTCAAACAGCTAGTTCAATATGTATGAAGTAGTTCCTCAAAGGGAGAATTTAATAGAGGGAATATATCATATTTAAATCAGATCATCCATGGAAATAGATTGATGGATGATAAAAATATAACTTTAAAATATAAGAAAGTTTATTGTTCAATTAGAAAATATTGGTTCCAGGTAGTATACTAATTGCTATAATCTTAACTACATATTACACTTTCTTATGAAAATTTGACTAGTGATCGAGTGGCCATTTTTATGTATGTTATTTTACATTTGCAATTTTGTTGAAATTTCATATGTGAATACATGTACTTTGAATATGTACCATCTAGTGACAATTTGGCTAATAGGCACATATTTTCAAAAATGGCAACCATGGTTGTTCAATGTGATTTGCTACACATTGGCACTGCTGTTGTTGTTTTTTTGAATGACCTAAGTGCCGAGAAGATTAATTCATTAAAGGTGCAACAATTCGTGCAGAGGGGCCATTCAATGCTCATGGACCAGTGTCAAAATATATTTAAGTTTGGATGTTTCATCAAGACTAATATATATTTTTATTGTCTACAAAGAAACCCCCTGGATGAACATTATTACAGCTGATATTCCTCTTAAAACATGATGGATCTTAAAAATCTAGAAGTGGGACTCCCTTTATAGAAGCTTTGAACTGAATTTACACTTCTTAATGCTGAAATAGAAGAAAATAGGTATCTCAAAGAAGATGTTAAGCCCCCGAGGGGGGGGGGCAGTGCTCAACTTTTTGTACAGGGGGATGCCGCTGAGATTCAAAATATCCACCCACATCTAGGGATTTTTTTCTCTAAAAATGGACCTACATCTAGGGGTTTTCTTTCAAAAATAAGACCCTTTTCCAAGTTTTAGGATTTTCAAAAAGTAGACCCAGTTATAGGGTTTTTTCTTCAAAATGAGACCCACATTTAGGGATTTTTCAGTGAAAAAGTGACCCACTTTAGCGGCACATCCCCATATACCCAATATATGGGAGTACCCTGCCCCCGGGGTTAAGCCAAATGTTGCCCTGATATCTCAGAAAAAGTAAATATTTTCAAATGATCTCTCTACAGGCCTTGTTGCCCCTTTAAGTACATCCATTTCTATGATCATGTCTAATGAAGCCTTTCCTCATGTTCTAGATGCAAAGGTACAGTACAAGGTGCCTTCAGAATTCTACAAACACGTGCATGATATCCTCAAGGTGAGAAATTTTCAAAATTATTTTGTTCAATATAAAGTCTCATAAAATCTCTCTGTATTTCTTGCATTTGGGTTTCAGGTTTTGTTTGGGTTACATGTTTTGGCTCACCCTGTATAATCTCTCTTTGTATTTTTCCATTGTAATCACTATTATGCCTGTTCAATGTTCTTTCATCTACTAGGTTTTATTGGTATTTGTTTGAGGCTATTGTACGCCCGGTATTATTCGCGAGCTTTAATTTCGCGAATTTTGAGAAAACAGTTTCGCGGCTATTAAATTTCGCTAATTTCACAAGTTCAGAAGTGCGTGCCGGGCTATGTTTGCCCTTTCTGCGTCGTTGTACACTTTATATGTTCCACGCTTGGACTTCATGTTATTTTTAGCAATTTGAACTTCAGTTTCTATGATATCGTCGATGTCATTATTAAGTCTAGGCCCATTGGTAGTAGTTGGCCTGACTAGCCAACGTAAAATAGACATGTTGGTGGAAATCATCCAATTATCGCCCAATAACACTAGACGAAACGTTTTACACAAAACGAGATGCAATTTGTAGTTCTTCTTACAGATGTAGGAATGGAGGGATCAGAAGTTGACGAAATGCATCAGAGTCCCGGGTAAAAACAAATTCCCAGGGATTTAATTAGCAATTTCGCGACGATAATTTTTCGCGATTTTAACACCATCGCGAAAAGCGCGAAAGTTAATCGCACGCGAATAATACCGGGCGTACAGTATTGTAAAAAACATGCTAAAAATGGCGGAATGTAGTTAGTTGTTCTGACAACATGCTCACATATAGCTTGATGTGTAATTAACAACTCTCACCTTCATTCTAATAAGTTCTTAAGCAGAGCTATTATGACATACGCTTATAAAGTTTAATCAAGACCTATCTATATAGTCGTTAATTAAGGAATAACTGAATAAAGACCAAGATTTCATGATTGATGGAGTAATAGACCAACATTTTATTCTGTTCATTGTTAAAAGACCGAAGTCGCGAAATCATAAATCAAGGTCTTTGTTACGATTCTAATATGATTAACAGACAAGAAAATACCTATTTTAACTAGGTATTGTATCTGGGCTGTTGGGAAATTAGGTCAAATTTTAGGGTATAAGATATTTTGTCATTGTTATGGCTTATTTAGAATATTTCTCAATCCGCATTGTCAGTTTCCCAAATTCTATTTCCAGAATTAAAAAATGAGTGCAGTGTACATGCATATTTTTTTAAATGTATTTCATCTGTTGTAGACAAAAGACAACCAACCAATAGTAAACCAACACCAAGACCAGCAGCAAGTGCCAGATCTTGATGTACATGTAGACAATAGTGACACTGACACAGATACAAGTCCTACAAGTATAGTAATAAAAATGGAAATTTCAAATAATGGAAAGGACATCACAAGTGATGCAAGAGTAAAAAAAATCATTGACAGTCACACACTGGTCATAAGAGAGCTTGTGAAAAAAATTAACTTTTAAATCATCCATGATGTGGTCATAGTCAACAGTGACAATACAGGCAATCAAGGCTGAGGTGCAACATGCCATTGATTATGATCTAGAAATTGTAAATATCATCCAAATATGACATTGGGTAGGTGTAATTACTGTAGGTAAGGAAAATTAGTTTACACTCTAGCTTGAGGATTTCGAGAATATAATGGAATTTGTACCTTTGAAATATGTGTAATTTAATGGCAGCGAAATTGATATTTCTGAAAACTTGAGAAATTAAAACTGGCGAAAAATACTGCCCGTACAGTAGGTCTTATTAAAACATGCCAAGTGTGTCTCAGCCAATCAGCTTAAAGCATTTCAATGTGTTAATTTATTGATATATGCATGGAAATGATTTTGCTGTGCATTTATTTTTTGATAAATGCACGGCCTGAGCAGTACTATTCTTTAAACAGGGGTGACAGCATATCATCAGTGTGTTCATTTCAGTCAATGGTATTATTTTCCAACTAAGTTTTCATAATTGTTATGCATCAAATTAATTATTTTAATTCCTAAAATATTTTGACAAACAAAACCTTCTCAATAATATTCAAACGAATATCAATTGTAACCCAACATCCCTATTTAGTATTTCTAAATAATAGACTTGTCCAAAAACATATAAAATTTAACTTAATTTCTTCAAAGACAATAATCTTGTAGATGTAAATGGTAAATTGTTCTACTTCATCATTGACCAGAGTCATGTTTGAATTGCAATAAAGAATCGCCTTCATGCATTATGTGTATGGGTTAGTACATACACTCATGCTTTTATATTTCCAATATAGAATGATACATGATTTTTATTCCTTTATTAAAGTATAAGAATCAATTTGGAAAGAACGACGGAAGGTATCGCAACGGATTTCAGATATTCACATTTTGGCTATTTTCTAAGGATTTAAACAGGTACATATGTTAGGCCAATCCAATAAATCCAGGACAAGCACTTAGAGATGATAAAATAATTTGGACTTTAATAATCGAAGTTTAGGGGGGATGTAGAGAAGCTGTTTGTCCGTCTGTTTGGAAAAAAATGTAATGTTTGATAACTCAAATACCAGTCAGGGAATTTGATTCAAATCTAATATGCTCATGCCTTGAACACAGTAGGTCTGTTCAAGAAAGAATTTTCAAGATGGCAGCTGAATTTGAAATGGCTGACATTTTTCATAAAAAAGTAATCTTTGATAACTCAAATATCAGTAAACAGATTTGCTTCAAACTTTATATCCTGATGCCTAAGGACACAGTATCTCTGTTCGAGAAATAGTTTTTAGGATGGCATGTGAATTAGAAATGGCCACCATTTTTCATAAAAAAACGCAAGCTTTGATAACTATGAGTCAATGGATTTGGTTTTTCAACGAAAGATTTTATTGCCATTAGATATAAATATAAAATATAAATCATGGATTTGGTTCAAATATGCTGATGCCTAGCCTAAGGACACAGTAGCTCTGTCCGAGAAAGAATTTTCAAGATGGCAGCTGAATTTGAAATGGGCACCATTTTTCATAAAAACAAATTCTTTGATAACTACTGTAGATTGGGTTAATTTGGCGCTATTTAATTTGGCGATGTTGCCATTTTTGGCATATTGGCGGCTATTTAATTTGGCGGATATGCAAAAAATGTTAAACCTACGCGCTGTTTGCGAATTACCATGTAAATGGTCATGTTTGGCTATGTTCATTTTTTCTTTTGAGGACCACTGGCGATATTCACCACGTTTGTACATTTTTGTGAGATCATCCTTTATATTTTGCACCTCGATTGATGCTGCTACTATACCGCGCTTTTCCTTTCTAGTTTTTCCCTGAATATTCATGAGGGACTAACCAGTTCTGAGCCAATTTATGAGAGACATTTTTCATATTTTTGGAAAAAAAACTAAACCGGAGGTGACCTAACTGGACGAAATACCCTAGATAATTCTGGGAATTTATTCTAAATTTTGGCAAAGATTTATATTGGCGAATTTTTCAATTTCGCCAAATTCGCCAAATTAAAGCGGGCACCAAATTAACCCAATCTACAGTATATGAGTCAATGGATTTGGTTGTATGCTGATGCCTAAGGAGTAAGGACACAGTAGCTCTGTTCGGGAATTTTTTTTAAAGATTTCAACTAAATTTGAAATGGCCGCCATTTATCATAAAAAAAGAATTTTCAACGTGCAAGCTGAATTTCAAAGTAGCCGTCATTTTTCATTGAAAATGTAATCTCTATACAGTTATAACAGTGAACGGATTTGGTTTAAATTTTAAATGCTGATATGCTCTGTTCAAGACTTCTCAAAATGGCCAATAATTATCAAAATGTGTTTTGTTCTGTGGGATTTTCTACTCTGTGAGTTTGCTGTTTTCTATAGTCTTAATGAAATGTTCAGGTAAATGCTTTTTAATTTAATTGAATGATTCACAAAAAGATTGATGATTCATTTAAATAATTGGAAAGATATCTTTAAAAAAAATTGTAAACCAAAACTGAGTATATGGATGTATACAGTAGTTTATCTTAATATAATAACTGCAATGTTATGTGTATGTGTAATCGTGTATATTGCCATAGTGTATTCCTTTAACCTCTTGAATCCCAGGCTCTACAATTGGGTGAAACTAGAGAATTTTTCATTTTTGCAACACTTTGACATTTTACTACATACCTATACAACTATATTAGGTGGCAGAGATCATTACACGTTTTAAAACAATTTTTGTGTAAATTGGAATTGTTCAAATAAGAGCAATTTTAGTGAAAGAATTTGTGACGGATTTTCTTGTCACTTCAGGTAGTCAAGAGGTTAAATACTTGGAATATCTTTTGAGAAAATGGTAAATAACAGATGTTTCAAAACCAAGGGTACTCAATAATCAGCCATATGTCAATTCAATACAAAGGCCTATTGGCTTAGATGAATAAATAAAACCTGTATATTTACAATGTACATAGTCTACATTTGTTTACTGCTAAAACAGTTATTGTTTATAACATGGAACATCATATTTAACTCATTTCAAAGGTATCACTAGCCTATGAATACAGTCAATTTTTATCAATATTATTCAATGTCGGAAAGCTTGCTTTTAAGGCTAATGACCCCCTCCCCATAACGGTTCAATTTTCCAACATTTATAGTGCTCATTTAGACAAGCACAAGTATATACTGAATGAATAACACTAAGAGTAAATTAGATTAAAAATGTTCTGTATTGTTTACTATATACAATATACTGAATTTAAATTTCATTATAAGAATAATTAAAGTATGAATAAATTAAATACATTCAAACTTATGTTTTGTTTATAGAATGTTACACAGCAAAGAGGAAGAAAAGAAAAGAAAGGGAAATATGAGTTGTGCAAGATTGAGTACCAGAGTTTCTCGCGAATAGGCCCACGGGCATTTATTTTGCCAGGGCATTTATTTGAAAGAAAATTTACCTTACATATTACTTTGTTTTTAAGCAATTTCAATCGTTTTCTCGATTGTTTCACCCACTGGGCATTTATTTGAAAGAAAATTTACCTTACATATTACTTTGTTTTTAAGCAATTTCAATCGTTTTCTCGATTGTTTCACCCATAGGGCATTTATTTGAAAGAATTTTTAATAAACATATATGGGCCTTTATAAAGAGGGAAAAAACCTTCACAAACACCCCTCTTTCAAATAAACATCCCATGGGCCTATTCATGAGAAACTCCGGTAGTAGTGAGTAATAAAAATAACATTGTAACTGCATTCATTTAAACCACTGTGCAGGTTGTAAAATGTTATTCTTCCTGCATAGATTACAGCTGAAGTATTAGGATATGTCCATAAGCCACAACCACAAGCATATTAGGGTGTAGAATCTAATATCTAACATCTATAAGGCTATTAGCTAAGTCTACATCATACTACATGGGGTGAAGCAGGGTGAGGCAGGTAAAGAAATGTGAGGCACCTGGAAATACACAAAGCATGTATAAAGTTTTGATCTAAAACATGCATATCAAGTTTTACTACAGTGCATTAGGTGGGTGGAGGGTGACATGAGTTAGCATGCAGGAAAGACACAACAAAAATCTGAAAACAATACATGAACATCACTCGGGCACAAAAATATAATTTTCACATAGCTTATACAGCTTTTCTGAAGTGTAAAGAAATTCCACTTCCAAAAAAAAACTTTTCCCATCTAACCCCTGTGCAATGCCTTAACCTGAACAAGGGCACAAGGGTTAGATATCTAACCCCTGTGCATCGCACAAGGGTTAGATATCTAACCCCTGTGTGTTACACATAAGGGTTAGATATCTAACCCCTGTGCGACGCACAAGGGTTAGATATCTAACCTGCCTTAACCTGAACGAGGGCACAAGGGTTAGATATCTAACCCCTGTGCATCGCACAAGGGTTAGATATCTAACCCCTGTGTGTTACACATAAGGGTTAGATATCTAACCCCTGTGCGACGCACAAAGGTTAGATATCTAACCTGCCTTAACCTGAACAAGGGCACAAGGGTTAGATATCTAACCCCTGTGCATCGCACAAGGGTTAGATATCTAACCTCATTGATACATGGTAAAAAAAATTAACCTTCATCTAAGGGTTAGAATGAGATTAAAAATATCATGAAATTATATCAGATTCCCACTTGAAAAAATTATTCCCATTTCATTTCTCAACTCCTTATGGGTTAAAATGTTAAACATTTTAACATTGAAGCATATCATATATTAAAAATATCAAAAAGATGTTTTACAATTATAAAATTGGTGTTCTAACATTTATTAATTTGCATAGTTTCAAAGTTCCTACACCCCTGTAGAGTTGACAAGTTATTGTTTTTTCATATACTTTTTCAAAATTACCATCGGTAAAATCTTTGATATTAGTTGTAATTTTTCGTCTTCAAATAATGTATTAAGCTCTTGTGATGATGTATCACATGAAATCCAAATTCCGATCAAATTGGGATGTGAATTGCAACAATATAACCATATATAGACCATGTTACCCTATCTCCTTTTATTTGGTTAGGAATATTTTCCATATGCTTTTTGGAGGCATGATTAATTCCCATGATCAGAAGACTGGAAGCTGAAGACATACATGCACGCGCAAACCCCCAACTTTTACTAACGGAGCTACCTGTTACACTGACAAAAAGCTTCATTGGGACCTAACCTTCGTTGAATTTTCTACTTAATTGCTTGATAACTCACTGCCTTTTGATCAGTCTATAATTTTGAAAATCCTAAAAGTATGTCTTAATGTTTTGGAAAAAAAACATCAAAGTGGGTAATTGTTTGAAAAGGTTCATTTTAAGAGAAAAATTTCCTGAATGTCAATGGATGTTTTGAACTTCAGTGGGCCGCCTATGTACAAAAAATTGATCAGTAGAAAATCGACTTGTCATTTATTTATGATTCAGACTGAAGTACTCTAGCCATATAGGCTACAATATAAAAATTATATTTTCTAATCATGTTTCACATGGTTTGGGACGTGAACCATTAGAGAGGTTTCAAGGACTTGTAGTAGCACTGCATGTTCTTTGATCTTCTTCACTTCAATGAGTATTTCATTGTCATTCCTGAAAATACATTGATCATCATTTATCAACTTTATTGTAATCTTTGTTTACATCACAATTTATTTCATACACATGAGTCACAAGAATAAAAATTGAAAATGAATTGTACCATGGGTACTGTGCTCACATGGGAAAGTCTCAATATTTTTAATATTCAACAGTAGAAGCTAAAAAGTTACCTATACAATTTCAAACAAATCAATTATGAGATACTTGTGGAGTTATAACCAACAAGAGCTGAAAACCTGATTTTACTGCAATAAAAGTGATGGCCATTTTAAATGTTTGTTAAAAATTAATTATAACCTGTAAATTAAGATACCTGTGCAATTTCACATTCAGATGTTTTGATGTACATTCATCATACATTTTACAAAGTCTCTTCATGTAATGAAGACTGTTTTCTTTTAGTTCAGTTGAATTGGGCAGAGGGAACTTCATGGGACACTTATCAATTTCTGTCTCCATCTTTTTAATAGATGCATATGTTCTCCCATCGATATGGATGAAGTACTGAACTTCTGCATATGACACTCTGTAAAATAAGCAGTTGATGTAAGACTAAGAGACACGGTCAAAACAACAATGCCAGGAAATAGTAAAACAACAAATATTTAATAGACTTTAACTTATATGTTTATAAATAAAATCAGTAATTGATAAGTATGAGAAGTAATCTCATTAATGTTCATGAAAATTTTTCACAAATTATCTGAAGCCAAATATATTTGGATATGTATACATGGTGACTTACGAATCGTTGAAGTGGTATGCAATACTGTAAAACGGGTATTGTTAGCGAGGGGTAATTGTTAGCGATTGTTAGCGATCGCTAAAAATTCAATTCGCTAAAATAAACCGGGGTTAAAATTAACCGGGCGCTAAAATTTGTAAATTCCCGGGAAACTACATGAATACTCGTATTTAAGGAGCTTTTCGTTCAGTGCTCGACTTCCGGTTTGTAATTTGAAAACGGTAAATATTTTTAAATCGTATGTTTCTTTCAATATCTGAAGGATAAATAGCCATCCATCATGAGATTACAGTAGTTTGGACCAATACCATGTGCGTTAGAAGTCTTACATTTTGATAATTTCTCTGTCATGTCCGTTATGCATTCTTCTGCCATAAATGATTAAATTTCTAATGCATTTCGCTAATTTGATTTTTTAAAGATTAATCTTCATTTCGCTAAAATTTCCCGCGCTAAAACCCCCTAAAATTGAAAAATCGCTAACATTTCCAGGTGTCAAAGTTACCCGTTTTACAGTAACCAAGTCATTCCTTCTGGTATATTTAGGAGCCATGACACCTCTGATTGTTTGCCCCCTGTAAATAATCTTGTTAGCTTTCTGATTCCCACTCTCAGTGATCACTGGATTCACCAGGATGCAATCATCAACATTGACAACATTTGTCCTGCAAACAATCACAAAATGACAGGTGTAATGATAGATAAAATTCCCAAAGTGCTTTAGAAAACGATGGTGCAATCAGGAAGGTGAATTTGAAAAAAACCTTCCACTAAGGCATTTTGGAGATTTGTCTGGTGTAATTCCAATGCAACAATTGAGTCAAAAAGACAAAAGGGGTCTGACGCAGATTTGAATGGTGCATAATGAAAACACTTAATGAATTGCTAAGTCTTCTATGTGTATATAAGGCAGCTCAGTTAGAAGCTTTACAAAATCTCAATGGTTTTTCTGACTTGTATAAGGGCTGAATAGCGAATAGTCTGATATTTTAATATTTCCTTTTAAATGGTATACACTTACAATTTTTTTTTCATCAATATTTCCTGAACATCTGGATTTGATATAACAAGTGTCAATACCTTCAAAAGCTGTATAGACCTCAGATTGTTCAAGACCTGAAAATAGTATTCATAAGTACAGTAGTAGTATTTAGAATATTTAAATCCTCTTAAATACAAAACATACAATTAATTAGCAACAAACCTTATATAAAATGTGATATTAAATAAATATGACTAGTTATTATATGAAATGTTCTTAGATAATCCATTGAAGTGCAAATAAAAAAAAATCCGAATGAAAAAGTGACCAAGCTGTTTTTAACTTTTTCCTGGATACCTTAGGTAACTGTTTTCAATTCAATTTATGTTTTATGAGAATAATGTTGGCACTTTATTTAACAAAAATATAAAGAATACTTAATTAGAGTTAATAGATTTATTCAGAAAAATCATTTATTATATACATGTCTTTTGTGCATACAATAGATGTAAGGAAATAGAGAAAAATAAACATCCTGGAACAGAAGTTTTATGGCTAAACAAACGGTTTTTATGTAGGAAAGAAACTTTGTACATGAAAAATTGGATAAATGCAGGTTTTATTTATGTCAAGGACTTTTTTGATGAGAGAAATAATCTCATTGATGAGAAAACTGTTTTGTTACGAATAAGCAAAATTGGATGACCGAATATTTAAAAATTAGACTTGTTTTGCACAATATTAAATATGAGAGTAAACAAAGTATGAAATATGCTAACAAAAGGCATTCAAACTCTTTCCTATTTAGAAATGACAAATATGAAAACCTTGAGAAATAAAGTTCAACGTTCTTTTATAAAATCCTATTGAAAGATAAATTTATTAGACCAAAGATGGAAGCAGATTGGACAAAATCCTTCAATATTCAGAACGATAGAATCACTTTTAGAAATATATACAAAAACAAGATAAAAGATATTGAATGCCAAAAGTTATCAGAATTTAACTTTAAACTATTACATAATTTCTTAGCCTGCGGAAAACTGGTAAATAAGTGGAATATTTTTTTATTTATTGGAAATGCTTTTATTACAGCGGAACACAAATGGTTCTTCCAGACATTGGCAAAACATTTAAAGGCCTATATCAGTTTACAGGCATTATATATAAGAAACTAAAACATGTTATTGGGTCTGGGGTTTATATACACATTTTAAAAGACCCTTTACACATTTATCGAACTTAAAAGCTTCTTCTTGTCCCCACAATGTAAAAATGTCCTCACCTAAGGCCCAACATGTTTTAATTTGCACACTGGCTGATAGAAGACCCGACGATAGTGCTGGATTACATTTTTCAATAACATTTTTATAAAAAGTATTTCTATCATTACCAAAGAAAGGGCAAACAAAAAGTCTATGTTGGATGGTGTCTTTTACATTTTTATCACATAACGTACATATTCCATTTCCCTGTCCCCATTTTTCGTATTCTGTTTTTAAGCCAAAACACCCTGATCTAGCTTTGAACTTTAATTTTTGCCCATAGAAGTCAAAATCTGTGGTCAGGTAGTTTTTTAAGAAGGGATGGGGATTTAGACATCGATACAGTGAGAGTGAAGACTTTTCATTCAATGCAGATTTAAAATTATTAAGCCTTTCTTGATCTGATATTTTGATAAGGGCCTGATACCAGTCAATATCATCTCTGTAGATAACATCATCCAGTCCATATTTTGTTAGGATGGATTTTATGTTTGAAAAGTAAGGGAATGCTTTGCTTTCATCATTAGCACAGAAGCCATCATACATAGAATTAAATATCTTTTTGTGTAATGACCCTTCTTTGATATTACATTTTAGATATATAAAGTAATCTATTTGCCTTTTTTCAATGACATCAACAAGAGGTCTCCAGCCTAAATCACCTAAAAGTGCTTCTCTGGCTGGGCAACACCTAATTTGGAGAATTGATCTCCCAATATTATATTGCATTGATTTCATTTTATCCGTGTTAGTTTTGTTTAACGTGAATATAGGACAGCCATGAAGAATGGCAGGGACAAACATTGAATTGTACATTTTCTCCCCAAATTTGAGACGCATGACATTACAGTGTTTTGTCAAAGTGGAGACTATCATACTTTGAATTCGTTTAGATTTTTCAGCAAGGAAGTCAATGTGGCCAGAGTCTTTTAGAGACCGATCAAAATATATCCCTAGATACTTATAACTTTTAACCTCAAATAATTCATGGCTGCCTAAGATCCATTTTTTATTTTTGTCAAGTCTTTTCCCAATGACCATAACCTTTGATTTTTTAGGGCTAAAATTGAACCCCCATTTAATAGAAAAGATGTCAGCAATTTTCAACATTCTGTTCATTGTAGATTCATTTTCGGCAAGTAAAACAACATCATCGGCGAACATGAGAACTGGGACCTTTTCATTTTCAAAAGGTAACCCTATATCTTCATTGTTGAACATTTCAACAAGGTCGCTCATAACAAGGGAAAACAGTCGGGGAGAGGCAGCAACCCTGTTTTAGGCTATAGACAGGGTTGCACTCTTCCCACTCTGTTGAAATTGTTCCAAAAATCACTTTGCTTTTAACTCCCACATATAACTCCCTCAAAATGCGCCAGACTTTGCCTTGAATCCCCTTTTCCCATAATCGTAAAAATAATATGAATATGAATGTACCAAAAGAATGTAGTGAGTGTAATGTTGTACAAGACATTAGACATTTATTATATGATTGTGTGTTAATTAAAAATCTATGGAATATTCTAAGTGAAACACTAAAGGTAGATATTACTTGGAAAAATATACTTCTGGGGTACCAAAGCATGAACAGCAAATTAGAATTTAGAATGTTGCTTTACACAATATTGATGAAATGTATTCATGAAATTTGGACAAAAAACTCAGACAATCCAACTCAATATAAACAAGCAAATTTTAAATCGAAAATAGCATCTAAATTAAATATTTATGAACACATTTTTAAACTGCAAGGAAAAGTAAATATTGCTCATGATTTTAAGAAAATTATAAATGCCTTTGCTGCTTACTAAGATTGAATGGATTTTCTTAACTTTTACTATTGTATAAGGATCAAAATTTTGATAGAGTATATAATGCTGTGAAAATCCTATTTTACTATTGTATAAATTCTAATCCAGGATATATGTATAATTTTGTTTTGCACAGTTTTATTGATTCAAGTATTGTTTGTGTTTATGTATTTTGCGTTTATGTTTTTTGAATAAATATTTTAATAAAAAAAAAAATATATATATATATATACATATTTACAAGTACAGTGTATTACATGTAAATCTATTACTGAACAATACATTTACAACTAAAATAAGCACTGATGACAAAGTCCAACACTACTGGGAGGAATGGCAGACCTTCAAATGGTCAATCGCATGGAAGATGGAAGGGCGGTCTTCTGGGGATCTCTTCCGCAACAGTGCGATGATATATGATAGGCCTTTTACAGAGGTCCTGTCACGGATGTCCTTAAACAAATTCCCAAGTGAATACAGATCACTTTGGACGAATGCTGGTGTTCCTTCCTGAACTTCGGGTGCTATCCAAGACCGTCCTGTAGACATTCCATTTTCGAAGACAAGAGGTGCTGTGAGTGAAGAGGATAGGCCAAAATTAATCAGTTTCCCTTCTGTTTTAGTGGTGAGGCAATAGTTATTAACTTTAATGTCATTGTGAAGAAATCCTCTGGAATGGATAGCGTATAATGCGGATGATAAACAGAGGCATTGCGAAATGAAGTCCTGATTTGAGAGCTTATAATAATCCTGGTGGTTGAGAATGCGTTCTAGTGTGGAGCGTCTGCTGCAATCCATGTGGACGAATTCTGTGATCAGAGTGTTGGCATCTGGGTCGGCAATGAGCTGCTGAATGTGGTCGATCCCTTGGAGATGGAGGAGGTTTACGGCTTCACGTATCAGATCATTGGTGTCATTCATTTTCTTTACTGCTATCTCCACTCCACCTGACGAAAACGCCTTGACTGAGCCAAAAGCCCTCGTCCGAGAATGCCTAGTGAAGTTGTGAAGGGGGTTGAGTCAAACGACTGATATGGAGAAAGAGCATCTGGTGATGGTATTTCTTGAAGTGATGATAGCGCCAGGTACAAGGTGTTTTTCTCTGCCCGTTCACTGTCGAGTGTGGCTTCCATGGCTTTGATTTTTCTGTCAGCTTTGTGCAGTTTTTCTGTTAAGCCTTCTAATTTTGAGTTGACAGTTTGAAGCTCCCTCTCCTTGATGGTGGCAGTTTCCTGTGATTTCTGCAGTGCAGCCTCAAGCTCCGCTATCTTGTTATCTTTGGAGATGGACTCATCATATTCAAGGAAGCGACTGATGACATGAGGTGAACTGAAATCATTGTCGTCAAAGCTGAAGAGCTCTGGAGATCGCTCATTATCAAGACTAACAACAGGCATTGGTTCAGGCTGCACTGGTATCTGGGTATTCATAAAACACTCTTTCCAAATATTATTGAATAAATAAATATATCGGAGATTTTCTATTGGTTTATTTCAAGGCTCAAGGACATCAAGAAACAGTTATTTACCCATTTTATCAATTAATCAAACATAGCCAAGCATCAATCAAGCACCATTGGGACTTTATTCAAGCAATATTCGGACATCATTCCAGCACAATTTAACTGTTCTTTAATAAAACTATGTTGATGGAACTTTGGATATGATTATATAAAAAGTCAAAATAAAAGTGAAATGTGAATACTATATATCAAGTTGTTTGGGAATCGAACCCAGGCCAAGGAATGATTAGTTCCATGGTGTAAGCCTACACAACTTGCAGGATATTTGTATAATCACATCACATTATTATTTTTGACTATTTAGAAAAATTGTCCTCTGTTTTTACAACAAATCAAGGTATAAGTAGCATTACAAGTTTGTTGGTTTACACTATATCCAGCTTGATGAATCATCAGAAATCATTGTCAGGTGGAGTGTGTCCTGAGTCATACACTGATTCTTTCTTACTATAACCAGAAATAACTAGAATTGTTCAATTTAAGGTGGTGGTTGCTACATAAGCCTAAAACGAGCCCAAATTCAGATCTTACAGATC